GTCCCACAGATTGCACTGACATGCAGAGCCTGGGAGAAGCTGGGGGTGACTGCAAACCAGACTGATCCTTTCCCCAAGCTGCCTTGGCAGGACAGTACAGAGCCTGCCTCAACATGGGCTTGGAGCTTTACACTAACAGTGTTAGGATTGTCTGATGTTTCCTATGGAACACTACTTCCAAAGGAAAAAGTCATGCAGCTATGAGGAAAGAAAAAAATAAAAGTAACTGTCTTTGAGCATGAATATAAGTGTGCATCTTAGGAATTTGGTTTGATTTTATTTGGCAACTTAAGAAAGCCCTACTGGGGCTGCATAACAAATCCAGTATCATCAATTTATCTTATTCAAAGTATTGCTATGGAAAAAGTGAAGAGGAATAGATTTATACCTCACTTATATATGCTAAGTGCTTTGATTTTAAATTTCAACAGGTCATTTGCAAATATGAGAATAAAGAGGAACCTTTCTCCACTTTCACTGTTTCACAACAAAAAAGTGCAAGTTGCTGTTTTTTAAAAATAACGTTATACACCATTTCCCACATTATCATTGAAGCTGCTACAGGATTTTTTCATATACTGAAAATTCAATTCTAGGTAAGAGAAATATAGGAACTATTCTTGGTATACTTTTTCCTCTTAAAATTTTTCACCCCTGTATCTAAATATATTGAAAAGATATTAAGCTGGCAGTTGCTTTGCACCAGATGCTGCCCTTTTATGCACAAGATAAAAAAAAAACCACTGAAACGGAAAAGAAAAATAATTTCCATTTTACAGTTGGTATCTTGCAGAGACATTTGAAAGGGTCAAACTGTGCAAAGGGCTCGTTTTGCTCATAAAAATGGTATTATCATCCGCAGAACTACATACGAAAGTGAACAGACAAGCAAGCGTTTGTATCTAATACCACCTGAATGTTAATGAGAAGAAATTATTTCCCTTTTGTTTAACAATTTTTCATTTGTTCCTTGAAATCAGTGGCAAAACTTCCAACTTCAGTGGGAACAGTTTCAAGGTACTGCATGTAATAACTGTCTGGGATAGCATTCACATAGCAGTGCAAAGCCATGACAAACTCCTTGCTGTGCCCCTTTGCTCTGCTCGCTGACCCATTACTATCACAGCCTTTGGATGTGCTGATCCCCTGAGCACAACGACACTGAAAAAGCTTGCAGGCTTTACTGCTAACCTGATCTCAAAAACACAAACCAGGAACTATCCCCATAATAACTCTGAAAGTGTACAACATTTCCAAGATACGTGTCTGAGATGGAGCCTGTGGCAGGAGGAGACGGTATGAAGGTCATTGTGCATAACTTGCATATGGCGATCTTGGCTTTGCCAACACTGGGTAAAATAGTCTTCTTACAGTCAGACTGCAAATCTTTGACAACACGATCTACGTTCAGTGTGTGTGAGTGGGGGATGGAGCTAATAGGCACACATGTGAAACTTCCTAGAGATCATCTCATGAGGCATACCAGAGTACCTCATTAACACTATTTACTAATGCTTCTCAGCTTGCCCTGTCAAATCACTTGCTTTCCAGTAAAACTGTGGAACAGTCATGACTTTCTGTCCTTGATCTATGCAACGTGCTCCCTTCCCAAAAGTCTGTTGCACAACTGGGAATGTCATTAAGTGGAGACCAATGTCTCTCCTTTCAATGTTTGAGATTTCAGGGCTAATGAAGGAGAGGACAGTCCCTAGTATAATATAGAAGAGCCTCCATATAGTCCTTTCTCACCCAGGTCCCTCCAGGAGTTGGGAACACGTCTGGCATAATGCCATTCGGGCCAGTAGAAGGAACCCAGAAACTTCCCTGCCAACCCAGAAATCTACCTTTCACCTACAGAGGCACTTTTGAATAAAGACCTTAAAATTGTAAGTTTAATAGTGAAAACTGACCTATCCTGTAACCAAAGGGCAATAGAAAACCTCCAGGTTTTCCCAGTAATACAGTCAGCACGGCACTGAACTCGCATTTCCTTTCTAAAACCTCAATAAATTTTATCTTCTATACTCATCTTCCAACAACAGTGGTATTTTATGTAAGACTCGAGGAATAACCCCACATTCATCAGTAGGGAAGCAAATACTGCACATGAAGTGAAGCTTTCCACTATTTATTAAAAATATATATTAAAAGCTCTGACAGACAATAATCCGCTTAATGAGAAGATTGAGGAGATTGGAATTGTGGTCAGGGTGTTGGGTTTTTTTGCTTGGAATCAGATTTACTCAGAGGCCTGTGTCTCAGCACAGTGACCTGGTGCTGCATGTCCGTGGTTGTAAAAGGGGGTCTCAAGGGACCGGATCTGGAGATGCTGGCTAAAATCATGAAACTGTTGAAACCCTCAGAAAAACTGACCTCCCTAACCCACCTGAACGGACCTTGAGCCGGTTTTCTGGTCCAACAGCAACATCTGCTGGATAAGACGAAAATTGCAGTTCTTTCTGAAATTCCTGGTGAATTCAATGTTTTGTATTTTCATCTTTCTATTATGGAACATCTGTTAATGGGTAAACAGAAAAATATTCACTGTCTTCAGGCAGCACCTAAAGCCCCATACAATAGGAACAGTAGGAAAAATATGTGGGAGAAGCCAAGCTCTTCCCCACTGAGAGCCTTCCACAGAAACAGATTGAAAATTGTAGGAATATATGGGATTTTTTATTACTGCAAAAATTTGGGGGTACCACTTTATTTTTCTTTGCTTTAAGTAAAAAAGAAAGACAAAAGGTGAGAGAAAGTGGAAAGTCTTTGAAGGCATTGTATGACCTGTGCTGCGAGCAATGATCCTAGGGGGTATGAGTTGCTTACTAGAAGGCAGGTGGCACAGATGCACAGGAACAGATGATGACAGTGGGACTATTATGCGATTCTCTAGTGGCCAAGTCCCTCAGTATGGTGCAAATCATTGTGGCATGCAAGGTAACCCCCACATAGCGTGCAGGTGTAGAAAGAATAACCTGAGAAACAGTCTTGCATATTTGGCAAGACCATTTGGAGGCACACAGGGGAGAGGTAAGCAAACATAGAGGCAACATACCTAAAGATTATCTACCTTATACTTTGGCCATAAAACATTCCTTTCTTTCACATTGATGCTGTACTTCTGAATCCTAAAACAAACACACTTGACTGACTGAAAGACGAAACCTGGAGAAACTGTATTTTACCTGCGGCTTGGGATTCATGCTCTGTGAGGACAGAAGGATCCTCATGGTTCAATGACAGCTACTGTGTGCAGAACTCTGTGCCTGAATGAGTGTTGGGCCAGGCCATGTTTTTCAGTGACAGTTCATCACATTTGGGAACAAATGTCCTGCAAGACCCATTAATCTAAATCATGGCCATTTTCTTACATGTGATTCGTTTTCAAGTCAGGGCTTTCTACTGTCACCGTGAGGCAGACTAGTACAATCCTGCCATTTTCAAAAGCTTATTTTTAATCAGTTGGTAGCAGAAAAGAGTCCCTTGGCCTGTACTGGTAAAGCAATACCCTTCTGTTACATATGTCTTTACTTGGTCTTACGCCACCTGTGGGTTTCCTGAGGCTGAAGCCTACACAATCCATGTGCCTATGAAACTAAGAGGTACATTTTATTGCTACTTGCTGCAGTGTAAGTGGAAACTACATTATTGCAATCAATAAGCAATATGTATGGGTTGTTTTTTTTTTCCAGACCACTGGAGGGCAGCATTTCTATTAAAAAAAAAAAAAAAAAAAAAAGGACGTGGACATAATTCCTTTAGTGCTCGTGTGTGGGTTGTTGGTTTCTTTTTTCCCTAAACTTTTATATCCATGCCTTCCTCCATTCAGGTACAGAGTATTATTTCACACCAAGGCAACTGAAATGAAAGAGCTGAATTCCTCCTTAGTGTAAATTCATCATTCTTATTGGCTGTTGACACAATATTGGTACAATTATCTGTTAGAATTAGCACAGCAAGTTCAAATTCCTGGCTTACAAAGATGTGCTTCTACATGAAAAATCCCACAGGCTTTTGTGCCTATAAGGCAAGGTATAAGTTATAAGTTGCCTAAAGTGGGTTAGGATGAAGAATATCTTATAGTAAAGCACTTACACAACAGTTAGTAGAGGGAGTCCTGATCTTCAAACAGGGCACATAATGCTCATATAACAGATACAATACCATAGAAATACAAGTGTATGCAGGGAGGAACATGTCTTGTACTGGTCACGTCATTCCTTCTGGAGGGGAAGCACAGTATGTGCTGGGCACACACGCTTTGCTCTCTCAAAGGCTGTCCTCTACAGAACTAGACACTTGAAGCAGACTGCAGTTTAAAGCCCGCTGCGCAAAATGTAGCCCCAAACATGCCTTTCAAAAGCTCCACAAATGCCAATTACATTAAACAATATGAGAAAAGCAACAAAGTAATGTGTCTAATTAACAAAGCTAGAGATAGGGCCAGCCATTTGGTTTGAAGTACTTCCAAGAGAGATGTTAAAGCCAATGGCCAGAGCAGATCTGGAAGAAATAAATTAACATGCTGGGTTAATATTTCAATCTCTGTGGGAGTAAAAAGTGTATGTGGTGAGGGGAAGCAAAGGTAAAAAAATCACAGGGTGCTATTTTGTTTGTTTGTTTGTTTGCCAAGGACACTTCAGCTTTTGCCATTTAATATTCTTCATGGTATGCTAGAAAATATGCAAGAAGACATAAAAGTATCAGCATTGCATCACTGGATTTCCTAGATTTATCTTTTCCCCACCTGTTAAATCTTAGCTCAAAGTCAAGAGAAACCACTACTTTGAGTGAACAAATTATGGGGCAGACACGTTCACAAAAATACACTAGGAGTTTTCTTTTATCTTTACTACTATGAACAACCACAGATTAAAGATTCCTCCCACCATAGGACTTCTCTGAGAAACAAGTTCTGGTCGCTTGTTCAGAGAATGCCCTGAACATGGCTTTTGTTCCACAACAGTTTTTTGCCCTCATAGCTAAGAACTGAGTAGCTGTCTGGTTTCAAACCTTAGATACCTGTCACTGGGTTAGCTCAGGCCATCGCAAACTCTCAAGTTCCAGCAAGTACTGTGGCTTGAATCCTTTCCAGTACTCATCTGCTGGCAGCTGTTTCCATCTGCTCCTTCTTGAATGGTTCTGCTTAATCCCTAGGGAAGAGCAGGAAGATTGTCAATGCACTGAACTTGCTTGTTGGGATCTGGCTGCTCATGTTTTACCTGAATCTGTCATTTCACCTTGTCTGCTCTGTGGCCTTTTTTTCTGCAGTAAGAATTCTGAGTGCTGCTGTGTATCAAAAAAAAAAAAAAAAAAAAAAAGCGCTATTCCTCAGATGTGGATGATGAAATATTATTCCTTCTTTTAAGTACAGATAATTATTATTAAAAAGAGATATGGAAAAGAATTATCTGTTCACTTAATCCTTACAGCTGCTATGTATGTAGTGATTCCTGCATGCATGTTTTGTAGCTGAAGCTACATATCCTTTATTATGTATTTGCTTTGTGGTGAGTGAAGGCATATGCCCTTCAAGCCCTCCAGAACCATGACCATTACCTGGGGGCTTTATTTGTTTGGGGTTTTTTTGCTTTTTGTGGTAAACCACACAATGTAGAAAGAAAATCAAAACCAGCATCTATTTCCATGTCTTCTATTTTAGACACCAGCGCTTACATTTCCAGACTTGCAGCTGAACCTTTAGGAGCTTTGGGTGATTGAGCAAGTGTCTACACACATAAGGCTCCTCTATTAATCTGTCCCATTGTTTCCTATGTACTTGTTAACTTCCTATGGAAGGACTAACATTAATTGACCAGAGTGAGTTAAAAGATTTTATTTCTTCTTAACCAAGATGATTAGTTTTATATTTTCAGCTCTGAAAATTCTGATTCATATTTTGATATACGATCTCTAGCCTGATTTCTAACTGGACCAAATCCTCTTCAAATCTCTTAGGCCTTCAAACAGGTGTGGCTGAAAATGAAAACATTTTTTTCTCCTTCCAAAGTACATCGAAGTACATTCCTAAATACAAGCAACATTCTGCAGATCCTCCTCAGTTTTAGCTTGGGGAGGGGAGAAATAGTCAGTAAGACAGGCAATATAACATAACATTGAAACAAAGCTGAGGAAGAATCCATTATCAATCCAAATGTAATCATCTGGATTTCTTCCTGACTAGGATTATATGTATTTCTGGGTATATAAGAAAACCACCTCCTAAGTATATATTCAGGAAAACTGACAGTACTTTCATTGACCTCCCACATCACCTTTTCTGTGGTACACTGTCCTTTTGAGAGTACATCTCTCTGCCTGGATTATGCAGTGATCAAACTGGGCTACAGAAGCACAGCACCACTGTAGTACTTCTGAATAGACACTTGTCATATCCTGAAGGTTCTTAAGGGCTTTGGCCTGATAAAGCAAATAAGAAGCTAAAATACTTCTAAATATATAACAGAGAATGCAATCTTTTTCTCTGCTTTTTAACGGGCAGGATGCCTATGAGCTAGAGAGTAATTTTAAAAGAACCTGTAGAAGTATATTTCAGATTTTACTGCGGTCTGAAAAATTCCATAGAAAGAAGGACTTTATTATGGGTTTGAGAGCTGGGCACCCCTTTCCTCTCATCTCTTCGCAGGAAAGACAATAAACATGCTATTGGGGGCTCTCTTACAGGGTAGGAATCCATCCTAGAAGAACAGAAAAGTCCAATTGTGCAAGAGGACGTATCTGAAGTAAGATACACTTAAAATTTCTTCTTGGCCAACTCTGAACATCTTGTGCTACTGCAGTCTTTCTCTGCTTCCTCATTATTCCCCAACCCCTTCTACTTCTGGAATACCTAGAGGCAAGAAGTACAACTGCAAAACCTGGCAGAATCCACAGATGAATCAGGCTGAATCAGTCAACAATGACTAAAAGCTCAGTACCTTAGGAACAAGCATATCACTGTGCTTCTTAAGCTAAACCGTTTAAATACAAATGTGCTGCAAATCCTGTATGTTAACAGCATTCCCAGCCACAGTCTGGAGGGCAGGTACACTTTTGTACAGAAGGCTTTCCCAGGTCCTGGTAACTTTGGGTAGAGCATCTTCCAGTTCCCTGGAGAACACAGACCATTCATTGTATCTCAGAAATGGAAGGCTGAGGACAAGCTAATAGAGGTGCCATTCTGTCACTGCCTCGATGTAGCACTCAACACCCCATTTAACTGGAACAAAAGGCTGCTGCTATTATTGAGCCACAGGCCCAGGCACAAGCCAGGATCAGGAAATCTGAGTTCCCAGCAGCTGGCACAAGATTTGCATCAGAAAGTGGATTCTGGATTCCATTCATTCGCACTTACATTGCATAAATCCTGGTTATTGACAAAAGAACGGTAGCAGATTTAATCTTTAGTAGTAATTATTAAACTAGCATCACTGGAACTGTTATACTTTATATCTCTTCACATGGAGCATACAAATGATTACTTCAACAGGACTAAATGTCATATTTCATGGGACTGGCTGCATAAATATTTACAAAGCTAGAGAACACCAAAGACATCCCAGAGTTACTGACTCATGTCAAATATTGAGAAACTGGGTTAATCAACGGATTTAAGCAATGCTTTAAACCTTTGAATCAGCATTATTGAGACTTTTTTGAATTACTCTTACCTTTTAACATCCAAAGTTTTACAAGCCATTTATAACAATAATGATTTACAGGCTATTTTCCCATCTGCTTGTCTGGGAACATTTCAGTCACTCGTGCAAACTCAGAGTAGGCTGGAGAAGTAATAACAGCTGTGGAAAGTGAATCATTCAACAAGAATAAAGTTCTCATTTCAGTTAAAAAATAATGAAAAGAAAGAAAAGTTCTAATTAATTTTTTGTAGGAAATGTTTTAATTATTTTTTCATGTGGTTAAATGAAAAAAAGATACTTGAGGTGCTGAGAACTGCATGCCTTGTTCAAGAAAAGACTAGCACCTCCTGTTCTGTGTTCTGTATATAGTATATGTGAAATGTATATGTCTGTATCTATGTGTTTGTGCCTGTTGCTATGTTCAGGCACCTGCAAATTGGCTGAGATTTTAAAAACATAGTGACAGCATTAGTAGAGTTATGTTTTCAGAAAAAGCTGACTAGGTCACTCTCAGAAAGTCAAGGACATTTTAGGACTCCCCCAAACAAATAATCTAATAAAATAAAGCCAAATCATTAGTCATTTCTGAAACTCTAGAGTACATGGTAGGAGCTGAATAGGTCAGAGCTGTGTGTGCTCCTTTACTCTCTTACAAATGCAGATTTAGAGCCTTCAGAATGACTGCAATTAGCTCATAGTAACATGTATTTAGCATCTTCCCTAAGCATATTTTTTTGTTATGTGTCATGAATCTTCCAACAGTCTAAATTGAATTTTCCTTGTCAGCAGCTGCTTGTTGTGCTAGATCACACCTAGGTCAGCACAAAGGTGACAAGAGACAAATCTATACCCTTCCTACAGCTACAGATTGTAACAAAGTGGTACATTAACCAAGCTGTATGCCTAATTCCAGTTACTTAAAGTAGATTTTTCTGTGATTTAGCTCCATAATTTCTTCACGAACAATTATTTGTGTTTTGGGGAATGCCTCATCAAAGACAAATGCTGACACTTTTACTACAGCCTTGACTAGAATACTATTTCTATACATCCAGAAACTCACACTGTTTCAGATCAGTGTACGTACTCCAAGGGAAGCAGGACCCAGACCAGCTACATGCTGGATTCAAGCAGTTGCTGGGTGTAAGACAGACAGCTCAACAGCTGTTTATAGTGCTTACTGTCCCTCATGTCAGGAAGGAGCAAACTTTTCTTTCCATACAGGAAAGACAGTTTCCCCAAGAAACCTCCATAGTCCTTTAGCAAGCAGCAGAACAATTCTGCCAACACCTTGCCTTGCTCAGGTGCACCAATCCGGTCATCACATTTACTCAGCTCCAGCTCCCATAAAGTTTCAGCAAAACCGAACATATTCAGGTGGGAGCTTCTTAGTTACAGGAGTAAAGACCAATGATAATCAATAACATATGACAATATTACTTCCATTTTTTTCCAGTGCAACTTCCCTTTATCACAGCTTGATATGCATCTGATTAACACTGATATTTCTACACCAGCAGTCTTTCTGAGGGATCCTAAAGGATTTGCAAAACAAAAAGACCCTTCACTCACAAACGTTAGCCCAGTACAAATGGATGGAGAACAAAATGCAACCCAGCAGGCAGAGCATAGTAAATGTTTCTCAGCTCACAGCAAAGCCCTGCAACAGTTGAAGAAGATATTCAAGAAGGAGATATTCAAGTAAAATTTAGGTAATTAGGAAAAAAAACCCTAGCTAGATGTAGATTAAAGTTCAGGAACTAGAATTCAGGTATCACTTCTGCTGCTCTAGCTACTCTTCTTAAAAAGAGCATGACTTCTTTGAATCAGGCTTTGGGCTACATAGCCCTTGAGACCTGAAGTACTTCTGTGACTCCCTCAATCAGCTTTAAGCACCAACCATTTTCTCCTCCATTCTCATTCTTTCAATGGAAGGCTTTTGTCCCACTGTTGACAGTTCTAAGGGGTAAATCTAACCTTTCAGAAAAGTCATATAATCTATGCAACTGCAGCTTGCTTTTTTTCTAAATGATTTTCAAGGACAAAATGAGTACATTGTACACTGAAATGCACCTCAACTTCCTATTTGAAGACCTCAAACCAAATGATTTACATGAATCAATATTAACAGATTAAAGCAATTCACAGCATGATGTAATCTAAAACTGATAAAGAACTGCACTGAAATACTGCTAAATTGTCATGAATTTGATACAAGAAAGCACAGGCTGAATTCTAGCATTCAAGCGTTACAAAAGTGGTATTCCAGCCCTACCTGCCTTTTGTTTTGAGATTGTAACTCTTACAAATAGGTCTCTCTCTCTCAGCTTCCTCCAGCTTTAAAACATTTTGAATGTGCTCCCCAGTTGCATGCAAAGTCACAGGTTCTCCGAACATCTCTTTTCCCTCTTTATGCTGTTGCATTTGTTAGGATTGAGCAACAAGTTCTACATAATAACCCTTTTCTTTGAATATAAACTGGATGATGAACTCAGACCTAGGCTTAAATTTCAGGAGTAAATGGTTCATTAGCTGTCACCTTAGTTGGTATCCTCACTAGAAACCTCAGTAATGAGATAATCTTGGTATACTAGTGAAGCCTCAAAGCATACAACAAAGCTTCCCTGTGTGCTTTCTGTGCCTATACAACAGTGTGTGATTTTGATCTGTTAATCCAGCATCTTCCATAAGTGGTAAAATGTCTTCATAGGAAAAAAAAAAAATAAAATCACTCCAAAGTTACCAGTTATTAAATTTAGGAATATTAGGGAATATACATTCAGTCATGTCCCACACTGAGAAGAAAGCTCCCTGGGAGCTAGATTAGAAATCACTGCAGTTCTTAGCTAAAGCAGTAAGCAGAGAGCAGTGGGATTAACAAATGAATAGCATGTGAACCCACAAGCTATTTTTTTCTTTGCAGACATAATTTAGACTTCTGTCTGAAAGACAACCTAGCTTTCATTGTGTATTGTTACTCTGAAGCATAGGGCAACAAAGGTGATCCCAAGAAACCAGATACAGAGGTGAAAGAAGGACTTACTCTTCCTGTGTCATCAGAACACAGGAGGGAGTGGAATGACCTAACACAACTGATAAAATCAGTAAGTTTTTCTGCTACACAGTAGCTTAGAAACTAAAATAGATCTATGGCTTAAAGCTATTCTTTCACTGTCATCATTAAAAGTGTTGACTTAGAAGAACAGCTAAGGTTACAAGTAGACCCAATGACTCTAAAAGGGCTGCTAAAAGTCCATATATACTCTCCTGGGTAGCAGCTGTGCAACTGGCCTCTCTGAAAGCTCCCACAAAGGAGGCCTTTAGAAAGGCCTTTGTAAACTCTACAGCTTGTTCCAGATTTTGGTCAGCCCAGTTCAAGGTGGATGATCATCAAAATCTCTCGCCAGTTGTGAGAATCAGCTTAGAAGACAAGATGTAATTCCAAGGCTAATGTTTTCCAATGCATGTAAGAATTTCTGATAACATTACTTGCTGCTGCTGTACCAGAATCCTTTTTCAGACTGTGAACTATTTGAACAACCTATCAACTCCATGCCTCCCACAGAGGTCTCCAAGAACTACTGAAGTTGGTTTAATTCTTTTTAGCAAGTAAAACTTAGTAAGCTTAGAGCTTCTGCAGTTGTGAATATGACCAGAAAGATCCACTGGCCTAGGATTTACATGTCCTTAAATCTCTTTCCTGGGTCACCTGCTTTCCTCAGCCTTCATAACTTAAAATGACAATAGATATCACAGAAAAAAAGTAGATAACTCCTGGACTTACATATACACCTTCACATCAAGTCCTCCCTGCTTAACTTCTCTTCCCAATGTAGAGAAGACACTCATCAGGGGAGTATAGAAAAGACTGCTCAGTTCATTGATAAGGGATCTGAACTTCTAGTCATTCTTTAATTTCATTCATTAACTCCACTGAAGTCAGTGGCATTGCACGAGTGACCAAAAGCATGGTCTTGCCTCTTCAAGTTATTGTACTTGTGTCTAAGGTAAGTCTAAAAGCATAGAGGAGACACACAGCTATGCCAAAACCAAAAAGACTGAACATGAGTTATGGCTGACTGGGGGAAGCTAATTTGTACATTCAGCTCACGTACACAGGGGGGTATGTATCCATTATAGCCTTGGAATTCTTTGCAGAGTGAGGGGAGATCCTTTGACACCCCAGCACATGAAGATGGAAGCTTATAGCTTAAGATATCAAATCTGCTTAAGCAGATTCTTCAACCAAAAAGAATCTTTAAAAATGTCAACTATAAACCAGAAAAAAAATAGTTGTAGACTAAGGGGGTAGAAGTATCACTATACAGCTTGGGATCAAACAAACTTCTGTGGAAACTTTTTACCCATAAATTAGATCTTCGAAAATTATTTGGTGTGCTTTGTCTACCATAGTCCAAATATTAACAATTATGGATATTTTTTTTTTAACTAAACCAGAATTTTATGTCACTGTATGGCATGCTTAAAGCAAAACTTTGCTGATACACAGCACCTGCTGGGCTGACTTAAAATATTCGTTATGTATAAATCAGGAACTGCCTATCTGGTGGTATCAACTAGCACTAACTAATTAAACAAATGCAAATCATGCTGTAATCTACAGTGCAAAGCAGAGTCTTTGTATCTTCCTATGCAGTTATGTTGTGTCACGATCCTCGTTTAATATTATTTTTCTAACACCTTCCTCTCTCAAACCTCAAGGTAAGCTTCAAACATGAAGTTATCTCTCATTTCCCACATCAAAATAATGTATGAAATTCATATTTCAATTTGTATTTCTAAGAGAGCTTCCCATTTCAGCAGCTGTCTTGCTCTGCATCTCAGTTTCTGCTTGATGATCAGTCTCTGATCTGAGGCCCTCTCACATGTATTTTGAACTATCCAACTCTTCCATGCCTACCAACTGCTCCTTTATCAATTACAGTCTTAGTATGTTCAAAGAAACCTCATAGGTCACTTAAGTGTGGCCTCCTCACCCAAGTCTGTGAAAACTATCTTTAAACGAGCTTTCTGGTCTTAACATACACTTTCAGATGACTTCTAAGGTCCTGTATTATGCCTGGATAAGTCAATGATGTGGGATAAGGCAACACAGAAGGCAGGAGCTGATGACCTGGGAAGAGCCTCTACAGCTGTGGATGTGACATGAAAGACACATTGCCCTAGGATTGACAAGTCCTTAAACTTCTTTCCTGGGTTACCTGCCTTCCTCAGCCTTTGTAACTCTCAGAACCAACCCGAGTGCTTTCCTATTGATCCTTCTATTTGTTACTATCAGAAGTAGTACTTACTATGATTACAAAATAATTGTCACTTGTGTTATTTCTGTCAATGAGTCATCATTCTCTTTTCCTTTCTTAATACCAGGCTTGAGTTCACAGACCTGCCCTCACTTCCCTTTCTGCCCTCTGTCTGGCAATTCTCAAGGATTTTAGATAGCATTTCTGTGCTTGTGATTCTCATATTTCCCCCTCTGTCATCAACCTTTCTGCCTCTGCCTGGCATCTCTTCCTGGAGACTTTGTCATCAATTTATGCTTGCTGAGGTACAAGGTTGTGCTGGTTTAGCTTCACTTTCCCTTTTCCCCTTCACTACTGGCAGCAGTAACACACCCCATTTCCACTATTCCCCCCCTTCCCCCCCCCCATGAGTCACACACAGATCCTCGGCCTTCATTCTACCCCTCCAGCTTCAAGACCAATCTGTTATCATTTTCATAGGCAAATCTGCTGTTTAGGCCTCTTTGGTATACCCTACCACAACTACTGCAAAGTTCTCTTCTCTACACTCCAAACATAAAATGCTCCTTTGCAACCTGGGGAAGATGTGGATGATCAAACACCTCTCACAAACCTGACCACGTCACTTACTCCATAGCAGCCCTCCACTTGTTTTTCACCTACTGTCCTACTTCAAGGCCCAACCTAACTGCATTCCCCCAGTCTACTACTCTTCTGTTGAGACCCATGTTGTCCCCACCACTTCTGCACTCCAGCAGTATTTCTCAACCACATACCCTTCAATCATCTCTCCACCTCATCCGCTTATGGTTACACAGCCTCCCATGATTCATCTACAATGGCTCAGCTTTCCAGGCTCTTTCATAAGCCCACTCCTCCTCAGATGGTGTCAGCAAATAAAACACAGAACATGTCTACATACCTCTGTTACTTCCCTTCCACACCACCATCTCCCTGATGTTCTTCAAGCTACTTGCAAGGCAGGAACAGGTTTTCTGTAGATGTCAAACTGCTCTTGGCATTCTTTTTGAACTAATGAAAATTAAAAAAAAAATAAATAAACAACATGAACACAAATCACAGCCCCCTACCTACCAAGCCGGGTTTTAGGGAAGAAACAAGTGAACAGTAGGAAAAAATGGAAGAAAATATGGGTAAAAAGAGCAGGTGTGTGGGACCACGTAAAAGCACGATGCAGTAGGACATTCAAACCCCATCCCTGCTCATGGTGGGAGGAATTTATGTCTGGGGAGATGGTGAATTTTGCCCTTCGGTGCATCCAGTTCAGGAAGGACGACAACAGCCATGACTGACTTCAACAGAGCTAGACAGGGTTACTCCGAGCCCAGTGCAGGGCACCACGGGCAAACCCAGCGCTTCCCGACGGGGATCCTAACTCAGTGCGACCATCGCGCCGCTGAGAGGAAGAGGCCGGTTACTCAGGACGTGAGCGGAGGGCGCCCTTGCTCCAGCCGGGGGTACCAGAGCAGGGAGCCCTATCCCGGCACCGGTACAGAAGTACCCGAGGTGGCGGCCGAGGGGCCGCTGGGGTCGGGGAGGCGGCGCGGCCGGCGCTAGGACCTGTGGAGCGGCGGCGGGGAGGGAGCAGCGCGCCTGCGCGGCGCTGCCCGGAGAGCGGGCGAGCTGCACCGAGCCGCCCGGCGGCAGCGGCGGCGGCAGCGGGAGGAGCAGCGGGGGTGCTCGGCGGGTCCCCGCCGGCAGCGCGCTCCACCCGGCCGCAGGGGCGGAGGCGGCTCGGCGGGAGGGCGGTGCGCGGCGCTGTCCGTTCAGCACCGGCGGGAGCTCCCGCCCTTTTCCGCCCCGCACCGCCCGGGAGGGCGCGGGCACAGCCCCGCCGTACCCCCAAGGCGGCTGCAGCGGCACCCGCGCCCCGAGCATCTGCGGGCAGCGCCGGCGCCGCGATTTTCCTCCCTTTTCATTTTTCCGGTTTTTTTCCCCCTGTGCTGTTGGCCACGTCCAACCAGGGAAGGGCCCTCCCCCTCCGGCACGTCCCCGCGCCCCGGCACCGCAGCGCCCGCGCTCCCGGAGCATGGCCCCCCCTGCCCCTGCCCCTCCGCCGCGGCTGCTGCAGCTACCGCGGCCCCCGAGCGCCTGACTTCAGACGACGGCGGTGCAGCGCCGGGAGCCGCCGTCAGCGGCTGCCCCTCGGAGCGGCCACAGGAGAGCCGAGCGGGGCCGGCGCCCCTCATTCTCACGGGCCTGGATCGGGGCTCGGCTTAGGCACCGACTGCCGCCGAGCAGCCGTCCCCTTACGGGCTCTCTGCCTGCCGTGCTTGCTTGGATGATTCTGCGACATGCCTAATAAGAGACGAGATGGGCCAGGGCGACGAGAGCGACCGCATTGTGATCAACGTGGGAGGGACTAGGCACCAGACCTACCGCAGCACCCTACGCACCCTGCCCGGCACGCGGCTGGCCTGGATCGCTGAACCCGATGCCCACAGCCACTTCGACTATGACCCCCGCACGGATGAGTTTTTCTTTGACCGGCACCCAGGCGTCTTTGCGCACATCCTGAATTACTACCGCACTGGCAAGCTGCACTGCCCCGCGGACGTGTGCGGGCCCCTGTATGAGGAGGAGCTGGCCTTCTGGGGCATTGATGAGACCGATGTGGAGCCCTGCTGTTGGATGACCTACCGGCAGCACCGTGACGCCGAAGAGGCTCTGGACAGCTTTGGTGGGGCACCCCTGGATAGCAGTGCTGAGGACGGAGACATAGATGGCACCGGAGACTCTGGTGATGGTGAAGAGGAGCTGGAGATGACAAAACGCCTAGCACTTAGTGACTCCCCAGATGGCAGGTCTGGGGGCTTCTGGAGACGGTGGCAGCCCCGCATTTGGGCGCTCTTTGAGGATCCCTACTCCTCCAGATATGCAAGGGTAAGCTATGCAATCAGCACGCTCATCAAAACACTCGAACCTCCCTTCAGCCCCACTTCCTCCCAGCATCATCAGGGTTATCTCTGCTGTCACAGCTGAGCAGCCATCCATGTCATATAAAAATCAGGTATAGGCTATGGGAACATAACCCATGCTCTCAAGCAGGCCCCATGCATGGGGCATGAGTGAACACCAAGGAGTGAGCTTGTACGCATATGCGGGCTTTAGGAGAGCCTTATTTTCTAACAGGCTCCTAAAAATCCAAAAAGCCCGGGGCAGGGTCCCATTCATGGGCCAGGGAAATCTCCATTACACCAGGTAGTTTCCCTCCCTGCACAGATTTTTACAGCCAGTCGTCCCCTAGTAAAGACAGACACCTTGTCCAGCCCTCATATGAGCTAACAGCTGTCTCCCCTTTACAAGATGGAGAAAGGATCATGGGAGCAGGCAGTCCCTGGGCAACCAGGAGATTCGGAGAGTTTCTCAGCCTGGACTGGAAAGGGAGCCTGTTCCTTTCTCTTTTCTCATACATACCAAGTTAAATATTTATGATCATGCTTCTCTGAGAATGGGTAATTCGGTTGCTCACTTTCCTCCTCACTCTGTCTTTTCCCTTGTGGGAAATGCAAAGTATTAATCAGAGGAGGTGGTTCATTCATGTAGAAGGGACACTGTGTTTGACGGGTTTCTTGCCTGGCTACTGAAGGACAACTCCTCCCCCTCCTGAGCCTGCAGTTGTTTTGGAAAGTGAATGCACACTGGTGCAGTTCACAGCATAGCTGTGGATAAAGATGGTCTTTAACAGTCACCTGACTCCTCTAAGTATGTACCTGTCATGCTATTACATATGAGGCTAATTACATTAATTAGGGCCCGATTCTGCTTCTGAAGTCTAAAGTAAAGAAAACCTTTACTTCAGGAACAGCAGCAGGATTCACCCCCAAGATAACCATATTGATAAGCAAGAAAACAGATAGGGTAGTGCCTTTGCAAAGAAATTGGTTTGTGTAGATTTTACTCCTCTTTTAAACATACCTTTGCTACAGCATAACCGCTGCCAGACCTCAGTAGGGATGAGTGATGCTTCGGTGTGGGAGGATGATCAGTGTTCCTGAGGAGGATCAAAGAAGTGAGATCAGATTAGGGAGCAAATTGGACGGACGAGGAAAGAGAAGTGGAAATGCAGAGAGCAAGGACAGGGGAGCTGGTTGTGTATGAATGGGTGGTGGAATAGCACTGCTGGAGATTTGAGGTCTGAGCAGAGATCTTCAGCTGGGAGCCGCTAGGTCTGCACACTGAATGAATGGGGAAAGCTGGAGCAGAGCCTGGAGTTATATCTTGGTGCATTTCTACAGATTCTTGTTTGCATACCCTTTGGAGACTTCCTCCCTGAACAAAGAAGTTAATATTTTAAATGAATTCCTTTAAACAGCATAGGGGATAAAAGAATAATAAAATATTTACCATGAGATGAAAGGATGATGCTGTTGAATTGCAGCTTTCAAATCCCTGATTTCTGCCAAGGGAACATGGAAACTGAGGGAAGGCTGGAGGGTATCCTTCAAAAGGCTTAGTTAGCTTCCTTTAATCAAGCCCAATGTTAGCAGGCATTGGTTTGAATAGCAGATCTCTGGTGTCCAGGAATCTGTTGGTAAAACACATTTCAAGTCAAAGCAGTGTGTTTGTCCAGGGTTTTCTGAAATGGTCCAAAAGGCAAAGTGATAATGTGCCAATGAAAAGAATACAGAGGTTAAAAAGCCCTTCTGCTTGAAAGCACTGTGGAATTTTAGGTTGGAGGATAAAATCTATAACCAATATTAAGAGTCTTTGTGATGTACAAGCTGGAATTCTAGGAGGATGTAAAACCCATTTTCTAATTCTTTATGGGTATTTTCATTTAGGAGCAGGCATTTTATAAACTGATTTGGTTTGTGGTTTTTTTCTCGCAGTGGATGTTACACCATTTATTCACAATTACATGCGTGTACCTGGTAGAATTCAACCCTTGATTTACCTTTAACTTGTTCTTTCCTTAAAGTATCATTAAACTGGAGAAATATGAATTCTGATCAAAGTTGAAGTGTATACTGAGTATTTCATGGCTTAAATATGATTCTTTAACTTGTATCTATGGAGATGTAGGCCTATATGCATTAATATTTTTCATGAAGGAAAATGGCTTTCATCATCAACACATGCATATACTGTCCATTAAGAAGACATTATAAGATGCTTAACATTTTCTAATAAAAGCCATATGTTATGGTTATGGATGTAAAAAGAGATGGGAGGTTGATTTATGCTCCTGTAACCTAACAGAGACATGGCAAAAAGACCTCAAACTCAAAGTAGCTAATTCACAGTAAAATAATTGATATCATCATTAATAAGCGCATGGTAAATTAAAGCAATCATAAGTAGAATCCCTGTTATCTCACTTTTAATTGTCTACACTACTTTCAGTTACAAACTGTATTTCAGTCATGCAAAAATTTAAATTCACATTGTCGTTTTGTCAAAAAAATCACAAAAATTTATCATCCTGATTGTATGAGACTTGACCTAATGGTGGTTACTGTATACATGTTTGGTGTCTACATACAGCACCAAACTGCATGTCAAGGTAACATCTTAATACAAGCATCAGTTTACATAACCATCATACTGTTACTCTTGGGAAAGTAAAAGGAATACAGTATATGAATATTAAGATGAGATGAAAACCTGCATACCTGAATAAAGCAAGATTTCTCTGGACTATGTCTTATACACTGTTTCAGTGAATGCTTAGGAACCGTCTGTGGAAAGCTCAACATTTAATCAAATCTAGTAATTCTTGGAGTGTTCTGATGGACACTACTTACAAATACAGGTACCTTTGACTGTTTTGCTTCACTAACACCTAACCCATGCTAAATTATATCCGATCTCATTGTAGATGGGCAGGGAAGACTAGAACAGCATTTGTGTATTTCAGGCAAAATCAGCTAATTCTGCATATCTTGTCTATTTTTAGACTTACTTTGATAAAGCATAAGCTCCCAGTCACTAGTTGTTTGTCTTCAGGTGAAACATAGTCAACAGTTTCTTGTTAAAACAGTAGTGGCTGATTTTAATTAAATTCTATTTTTCTAAACACTAATTTCTTAAATAAGGTAGTTCTTTTCTAAAAAGATAAGACACTTAAAAAAATTGCATTGTCTTCTAAGTCTAATAGAAAACGTAGCTTATTTCAAATCACAAGATTGCCTTAGACATTTACCTTAGTAAGATAAACGGGTGTCACACTTCTCTGTAACTTAAAGGATCCACATTTGGATAAATGGAGGCAAAGTCTGGTACCTGGAGGTCTGAAAGGAGTAACAGATAAGGTGATGCAAATTTGCAGAGATACTGGGTGCATGTGTAAATAGACAGGCATCCAGGTGGATGTTCAAAAGCAGCTGATCGGGCAGCTAAGTATCACTGCATGTCAATGGATATTGTGTACCTAAACTGGCGAGATGTTTCTGTAAAGCTTTTTAGAGCTGTCATTTTTGCATTGTCAGGGAACTTTGTAAATTTATTTTTTGTGAGTAGATGCAAGGGTGAAAAGAGTCACACAGAAAGCTACACAGATATACTAAAACAGCGTATCTGAGAGTTACGTTGTAATAAAGCTGCTTTCTGCACTCATTAGACTTCATAGTTCCCTCAGTTCACAAATGTGTGAAAAGTATTTCTTAGCATCCTCTCTCGTTTATATTCAAGTCTGTCATGCTGGTTTTACACTAGGAA